AATTCCCCCCACACACTCTTTGTGTTATATTTGGGTTTTTGTCTTTTTTTTTTTTTTTTTTTAAAGCTTGGCCAGATATTATCCTTCTCCTTTTAAAATACACAACTAGATAACGATTAGATGTGCTTCCTTTTAATGAGCGCCTGGTTCTTGTTCTGTTTTTTACAAGTGCTAATCTTGGCTAAGAAGATCAACAGCTGTGATAGGAACTTGTATAACATGAAGACCACTAAAGTTTGTCTGACATTAATAGTACTAGCATAGTGGCCAAAATTACTTTTAAGAGCTAATTAATTAAGACTAAAACCTCTATATACTTTTCTCAGCTTTCTATGATATTTGACAATCCAAATCAATTGTAAATGTTTTGTAGCGCTGCGATTCTGGCTTTTTAGAAGAGAATGTACATAAAGTTTTATAAAGTAATACAGAACCAGTGGATGTGTAATTGCAGTTTGATCAAAGGTGATGCCCAAGAGGCTGTTTAACAGGTGAAAAATGTCAAAAGACAGACATAGCAATGACTGTGTGGTGACTAGATTAAGTTTGGGACTTCAAAAACATCTAGACAAAGCCCTCAATTTTTGGCTCAGAATATAAGTATTTGCATTTTTCAAATTTAAGATATCAACTAGAAAGCGCTGGAATTTTTCTGGCAAGAATGGCAGCTTCCCATATAGTTTGATCAAGCCAGAAAAATTCAGCTAACAAATGCAGAGCACAAAATGAACTAATATTGTTTATCTTGTTATTGTGGCACTGATTCATCAGAAGCCATCATCCGCTTTCTCTGCGAAGAGAGTGAAACAGCAAGTACGCGCACAGAAAGTATTTTAAAAGGCTGAGAGCACAATATAAATCTAAAAGGGAGCACTGGAAATAAGGGCCAAACATTAATGGAAATACTTGACTGCTGCAGTTTGCTGAGCAAAGAGCAGATTGCTGGAGAGGCTCAGTACAGAAAGGGTGATGAGGATATGGGCTCAACGCTTGCTTTATCTATGAAAGCCTGCCCTGGGTTTCCTCCCATAGTGTGGCTTTGTGCTGAGCTCCAGCAGGCTGCCAGCCCTGTCCTCCTGCTTGGCCGAATGTCCTCTGCTCCGATGGCAGCTCCGGGTGCTGGCCTGGGGACATCACGTTCTCTACGGCCGCCGAGCCCTGTGGACACCAGCGGCATGGTGCTGATCACACCAGTCTGCCGGAAAAAGGTTAGGAACCGCTGTTTTGAGAGCACAAGGCCCTGCTTTTGGGAGCGAGCTGGAGAAGTTGCAGCTTATGAGAAATTCCTTGGGATAAAGCTCGCTGTGAGCAGACGTGGCCTGGCTGTTGCATGTTGGCTGGCTGTGTTTGCAGTGATGGGTTTCCATCAGAGGGCACGCTGCCACTGCCAAAACCGCTGCTGGAGCGTGTAGGTGATGCTCCCCAGCCAGGCTGGATGGAGGTTTGGGGTTTAGGACTGCCCATGGGAGCTCTGCTCGTGGGTCCCCGTTGGAAATATCACACAGATGTCCACAACTGTTTAAATACTGGGCTAAACTGAAACTGGTTCATTGCAGCCACAAAGCACTCTAGTTGTATCTGTTAGCTTAAACTGATAAAAAATATCCCGATTCCCCCAACTGATTTCTAGTAACCGTTTTGTTGGGTGAAGAGCTCCCTCCCCTGCAGTGCCTGAAGCGGAGGGCAGTGTCTATGGCACGAGTAAGTAAAGTAAAACATAGAGTAAAACCTGTGCATTGTGCCAAGGAGGTACTTCTAGGGCAGAAACAGCTGCGCAGGGACGCTGAGATCCCAGGTATAAATGTGTCCCCTTTCCTTACCAACTAAAACCAGGTGGCATTGAGAAGTGTTGTTTTACTGCTGTAGGTGTGACTGTGCTGAATGGTTTTGATGCCACAACTGTGTTTAATAAAGGATCACACTTCTTCCATGGTACAACTTCATTTTCAAGTGCACAGAAGTTTGTTCAGAGGAGACAGATGGCCTCAAATCAGCTTCTGCTACAAATGACTACTTGAATCTTAGGTACAAGGCATGATTCAAACCTGACTGCTGGAGGTGCCAAGAAAAAAAAATGATAGCCGCCAGCGTTGCAGTCTGTTGCCCAGCTTATTCCCAAAATCAGACTCTTGCTACTGAGAGTTGACAGCAGGGTTCAGAGATGACAAATGATCAGAAAATAACACAGTCTGTGCAAGTCTTTGGTCTGAACCCTGTCCAAGCTGTCTCTGCAGAGGTCGGCATCGCCCCCCCACAAATGCTGCTCTTTGGTCCCAGAAGATATAGTTCACACATGGTATTTATGATTAATCCTCACTGTTAGAGCAGGAATCTTCAGCAAAGGATAATGACTTTAATTAGTTCTCAGTGCGTTGCACTGTCTGTGGAGAGACGCTTGCTTACCCTCCTCCCCTGGAGAGCTGATCTCTAGAGGACCTACCTGAAGGGGGTGAGAAGATAGTTGTGTCCCTACGGCACAGTGCAACGCTAAAAGCAGTACGACAGAACCAACTACAGGCCAGGAAAGGTTAAAATCTGCTGCAGGGCTTGGGGTGAATCTGTGCCAAGGGCTGTTTGATACTCAGCTCAGTTTAATGATTCTAAGTTTATTTCGTGGTTTAATTTAAGTATTTAAGAACTGGCTATTTGCTTTTTGCCTTTTGTTACAATACAGCTAATTTCTGACTTTCGCCTAAAAGCTCCCATCGCCCAGGAGAGTCTTCAAAGAAATAAGCAGCCCACCCCTTCCTTGCACTCTTTTATTTCTGTTTGTTAAATTTCCATTTAATTGAGTTTATCTCTGTACACACCTGGTTCCTCATGCAGACTTCAGAAATAAACAGTTGCACAAATTCTGTACTTTATTTTCAAATTTCCTAACAAAATACAGTTCTGGCTTCCTCTTGCTGATCACACTGGTCTTCCTTGAAAAGAAAGAGCTATTTCTAGCAGTTCTTTACCCAGTTCTTCGTGCCTTCCTCCGGCGCTGAACTCTGCAGACAGCTCCCTGAACGTGACACAGATTCGGCGATGCTCTATATGCTTGCGGTAAATCGCGTGTTTCCATGTGTACCGTGCGTCACCGTACAGCACCACCAGAGACCTTCGGGGTAAGTGAATGGCAACAGTCACCTCTTTACTTGGAACAAGCCTGGGGGATAAAATGCAGTCGATTCCTTCTTCACCTGAATTTTTGCACGCTGATGTCTGTGTAAAAGATCCAGGGGGACTTAATTCCTCATTTTCTTTACTGAAAGTGGGGAATAATTGGATACTGTCCTCTGAATCACAAGACATGGACAGCACGGTTTTTGATAGCAAGTTTAAGCTAACCAGACGCTCTCCCCAAAGCCACCAGTCATCAAAATGTGGGTCGATGGCAGAACCCCTTTCTGGCATGTAGTCCAGATTACATTGTTCAACAGGTAAGAAACCGCCTAGTACAGAGCAGGCCTTCATTTGTGCCACAATCTTTTTACTAAAACTTGGCAAACCGGTAAAGCTGCCAGCTTTCAGCCTCTGTTTTTTGAAGTTCACTTTGGGTCCATAGTCCTGTTGGAAAAGAGGGGGGAAAAGGTAGTGTTAGGGAAAAATCTAGGTCAAGTCGTCTTGGAGAGGCTGTGATCCTTACAGGGCTCACAGTCAAGACTTTTGAGCTCCCATCTCTTCCAGTGACCTGGTCACCAGGTTGCAAAAGGACTCAGTGCAGCTATATTAATCTGCCTGGAATTAGATTTCTCACCTGTAAAGTAAAAACCAACCAAAACGCCCACTTCTTTCACTTGGAGACTGTGTGAACTTTAATGCCTGAACATGCACCGTCAAATTCTGTGTGTTCTAACTATCATGTATTTTTGCAAGAAGCTGACTTTAATTACAAGTAATTCTTGCAATTGATTTCAGGAAAAGCTTTCAAAGGAAAACATTTGAGGAAACATCTAAATGTTCTGTGTTTTAACTGAAAACAGCTTTCCTTTTCCAGAGGGATCTAAGAACAAATGTGCTTCTAAAGTCAAACCTGTTTCTTTCGGCCAGACTGTGATGGTTTCCAGTCATCTTGATCCATCAGTTCAACTATCTCAGATTCTTCGTCTTCGCTAATGAACTCCTCTGCCAGAAACACCCCTGGAAATGGAAATGCCCAGCCAGCAAATTCCGAGTGCTCATTTCCTTTAGCTAGGCCTGTTGCTGGACAGTAAGTGAAATTATCTTCTCCCTGTGGAAATAACAATGGAGAAGAAAAAAGCAGTGGGGGGAAAACCTACCAAGAGAAGGCATTTCTGTTATTTACCCCTGCAGCCTTGATGCTGCAGCATGAAAACTGCCTGTACAGGATTCTTGTAGACATGAGAAATTTTATAGCTTCTTTTGGGGAACAATGCTTCCCTGCTTTTTTTTTTTACAGCTCCAGCATTACTGTGCTACTTGCTTGAAGTCGCTTTTCTTTCCTAGTAATGTCTTTATCCTGCAAAGATGGGGAAGAAGAGATGATCCTCGGTGCCAAATGTATAAGAAGATTAATGGTCGGGATTCCTCAGGCCGGCTGTGGAGAGATATGGTTTGTCATAGCAATAAATGTTGAATGAGGGAAGTTGATAAAAAGCGCCAAGGCCAAAAGGCTAAGCTGTAGCGAACCTGTCTTTTCTTAATGTATGAAACTCAGGCCAGGTCTGTCCTGGCTTTTGAGGTCGCTGTGCGCCTCTGTAACGTGGCTCAGCTGAAGCCGCACGGGCTCCTTTCCCAAATACCCAGGGGCGGCCAGCGGGCCCGGCCCCGGGGGGCTCGGCTTTGTCCCCAGCCTGGACCCCCGCTCGGGGCCCGGCAGCCCCCGGGGAGCCGGGCCCTCT